GAGTTCCTCAACTCTTGTGGGCCTTTAATCAGAAGGGTATCCATTCTCATGTTGATCTCCCGAAAGAAAACATCAATCCCTAAGCAGCTCAAAAATTAGATATGTGAACACCCTGATTCTATCTTGGCGCGTTGCAAGTGCCGGAGTAAAAGTCGAAATCCGTCACTGTCACCCTGGACCAGAGGGCGTTCCAGCGCTGGACCGGAGATGGGCACTCGAATCTTGGAACAGGCTCTGCCAAATAAACGCCTCACTCAATAGAAGCTCGATATCTTTTTCGGTCCAATCTTTAGTCGGAAGAGATTGCAGGAACATCATGATTTCCTACTAAACATTTAGCCTAGTGTTTCCCATTTTCCGTTTGTGGCATATATATAAATGGAAACAAACCTGAAAGTCCATTTTAAGCAGCTGGTCGGACCACTTGACAAGGAACGCCGCACACACGTAAAGATGGAATCGGGAGAAGCCTTGTTCCTCGGCCTAGGTTCGATATTAGCAGTGCAAAGATTTCCGAAAGGAAATGAGAAATTATATATACCATATATGTATCCCACATGCGTATGGTGTTTTGAATGCTGACCTCCCTCATCAAAAGACAGTTCATCCAGCGGAAGCTGAACTGCATGAACTCAACGCTCTCCTGTTCGAGATGCTTTGCCAGTGTGGAATCAATCCGCATCGTGAGATCGCGGAGCGCTCTAACTTGTCTGTGTATACCTGGTTGGGCATATATATAGTTATCTTGGATACCATCGAGAAGTTTTGTTAGGCACCAGAATGAATCAGCTTCAACAGCATCAAGAACAGCTTTTGGTAATTGTCCTGGGTCCATTCCCTCCTCTATATTAAGATCCGTAATATATGTCCCTAGAAAGACCTGCCAGAATGGTGTGACAAGATCGTTGATCCCCTGTACATATCCACTCGCGGGATGTCGAATAGCCCATACGTATAAAATTCTTTCCAGCGACCTTTGCGTCGCTTCGTAGCCATATAACGGGATATGGGGGTTTGTACGAGGGATATCAATACTGATTTGATGCCAGATAGCTTCATCCAAGCCTCTTCCAGTCCCACCATCCGATGTTGAACCCGCTCCACTAGGCCTATCAACAGTTGAATTCCCTCTCTCGAAAGCCTGTCGCACACCATCAAGGTACTCTTTTCGCTTTCTCTCGAGAGCTGTTACGCGACGCTCGCTGTTGGTTGGCAAGTATCCTAATAGCAGCTGCCAAGTCATCGCTCGGACTTCATCAGGAACGCCCGACCACGCGAGGTCGCGAAGTTCTGGAAGGGATACGGTGCTTGCTTGGAGAATTCGTTTGAATTTGTTGATTCTGCTTATCCGGCTTGAGTGTCCCTCTAGCTGTTTCGGGGTTCCATTTGTTGGAGGGGGGGAGTGGTTAATCAAGTGGAGTGAGTTTGCGGGATCTCCAAGAAGACTTTCTTAGCTGCTTGTCGCCATCACTGAAAAGCATTTGAAACTTACCCGTCAATATTTCCTTGTACTGTGGACGCAAAATTTTGCCATCAGTCTTTTTCGCCGTTGGGTAGCTCAGGATGCCCCTTTCCTCCGCGATATCAGAACTATTAGCACGCAACCTCGTTGGGGATAAATTGCATTTTAGAGCTGACGAGCCATTTGAACGGCTCTTTGATCCACCTCGCTCATCGGTCACCCCCAGTTGGCGCTGAGGTCTAGCAGGTGCGTTTTTGCGCATTTTCGTAACGCTGGGGAGTCCAAATTCATCCTCATCGTCATCATATAGGAGCTCATCCTCGAATCCGTCATCATCATGGCTCCAGTCTTCACCGACTTGTGCCATTAAGCTTGCATACGGCTGGCGATTTGGTAGTGTGCCTCCCCCTGGTTCGGTCAAGTGGGCAGAACTACTACTCCGGCTATTGTTGCTAGTACGAGGTAACATTGGCGATACGTGCTGTCGTGTATAAGGCGATGTGGTCCTAAGGTGCGTAACAGTGTCAAATATCAATACCAGGGACCCGAACCCACTTCAGAAGGGTGGAGGTCTTAAACTCACCTCACCATATCCGCGTGGGAGTAGGATGCTCCGATAACTGTATTTGGGTCAATTACTCCATGAGGCTTTGGTTGTTGTTGCGGCGGTGAACGGGTCTCCAGAAAGACGCTGCTATTCGACTTTGTTCAAGCTGTCAGTAGATTGTTTAGTATATACTTGGGCGGGGACATACGCACTCTGTTTGGTCTACCAAGCAAACACGAGGTAGAATGTTAGTAAAACCGTCAGAAGAAGATTTACATCTTTGCAGCTTTGCAGCGAAGAATTACGATTCCTTGCAAAAGGCGATATTCAATACGGACCGACCTGAACCATCTCCTGTTGAGCGTACCAGTTAGAATCAGCTGAGTTTTACGACACCATGTCCGTAGTGAACCATATACCTGCTGCGCTGTCTTCCTGCTCGCCATATCTGGATGCCTTCTTGAGATCGAGAGAGGTAACTACGGGAGTAACGAGGAGAGAATCCCCAGTAAAACTCAGTGCGGGGGAGGGGAGAAGAACTGTATCGCCATATGGTGAGTTTAGGCGTACGATGTCATCAACAGCCATGGAAGAGCTGTTGGGTGGAGTTTATACGGACCGGCCTAGTACGGTATCGCCATCTTCTAACAACAGCACCAATTGTTCTGAGCGACAGGTGCCTCCAGCGCTCCTCCAGGACGACTACACAGAGAAAAATCCGTATTCCCCCCCTTCTGAGTACATACCCTATTATTCCAAAGGACGCTCTACGACGCGGCTCGATCCCATCTTCGAAATACATGGAAATGGCCCTCCGGCTTCATACTCTGATACTATGACAATACCATACGTGTAAACACCTCACGCCGCCAGATTGCTCCCGATTTGGATTAGCCTGCCAAGCCGCGGGCCTCCAACCTCAACTTCTCGCCTTCTCCATCCTTGTGTCCGTTCAAACTCGCTCAATCAAAAACAACACGCACACCACCAGT